ACATGTCGAAGCTAGTGGGAGCATAAGTGTTATGTTTTATAATAATCATCATGATAGTGGGAGCATAAATGTTATGATTGTATGATTATTAAGGCACGTATTGCATAGTTGGCAATATTAATTATAGAAAACAAGAGTCATACTTTGCAAAGTTGTAAGAGTTGAAAGGTTGTTTTGCTATAATTAAGGGAGAGAATATTATGCTTCATTTCAAATCTAAAGGATTAGGTTGAGAAATGTTAATAAACTTAGTCAATGGTACATAGTGTGTTCTTAAAATTTCGATTATGATTACGGTATTCCTCTTCACAATTCGAATTTTGAGAACATAGCAAATAAAACATTATGCGTCGTGTCCCATACGCTTCGAGTATAGGATCGATTGCAAATGATTTAATGTTTGACCATTCTAAAATTTTCCAAATGTATAGTGCATTTAGAGGGAAAAGGGACTAGAATTGGTTTTGACTAAAATAATTAAACAACTATCAAAGGACAATCCAAAGTTCGACGAGGATTGGTCGCTTGCGAGTAGTTGGAAGTATAGTATTGGAAATTATGGAAGTGTTTCCATATTGGATGGACGATATCGACATCATTACGAATAGATAAGATTCTATTAAGAATGAGTTGTCATATAGAAAATATGGAAGTGTGTCCATGTTGGGAAGTAAAATCTATGTCTAGATTAGAAACTTTATGCGAAAGGATGTTCAAAGGAATGTACTTTGAGTGAGAGACATCATATCTAAGGAATTGTCTTGTAACAATCTCCGATAGAGGAATTTGTAATATCATTGGCAATAGTCTTTGAGACTTTGGTGCAGTGACATTACAAAAGGATCGTTGCATAAAGTGTTAGAATCTAGTATATTCTATAAGTAACAAGAATTTGATATTCTTACACTTAAGAAAATGGATTTGGTGTTGTAAAATGAGAATGATTGGAAATGTGTTCAATTTGTCTATTTCGCAAAAGTAAGAACCATAGGTAAACATTGTGTGCATGCTAGGAGCATGGGACAAGTGTTGGAATTCAAATGCGAAGTTGATTACCCGAAACGACAAATAATGAGTAATCGATATGGTGATAAATAAAACGTGTTTTGTTTATACTCAAAGGTTTGAGGCCATATGGGATTAGTATTATTCTTGTGTTTCACCTTGCATGTTTTGACTTCCAGAATAATTGAGTTTATTAAGAATAATCGAATTATTCAAACGGGCCACAGTCGTTCATATGTTGGAAGTAGATATGAATGAAGACTGTCGTGAATTGGTGTGTGGATTGTCTAGAAGAGTATTAGACATAAGCAAATGTTTGCTGCAACGTTCATGAGTGCTTATGAATATGATTTGAGCATTGGATTAAACCCACGCTCACTTGGATCACTCCATGAATTGTATTACGAGTGATTAGTGAGACGATAACATCTTATATTCTTGAAACCGAGATGTGTGAGTTGTATCTTGCGAATCGGTTGCACATTGATAATATGTAAACGCACCAGTAACTTGGTGTTATAAAACATATTGTTGTGTGTAATTCGGTGAGTGAGTGCAAGCAAGCATTGTATCAAAGTTTATCCGTTCCTTTTATCCAAAGTAGGATAAAAGCGATATCTTTGGGCCCCTCGATGGTTTAGTGATGACATACGTAAATGCTCGGCCGGGCTAGGGCTAATTTGATTTGTTCATTAGTCTGTCGTCATAAATCGGAAATCGAGATATAGTACAAAGAGAATGATTTGAAATCATATCTCATACGATATCTAGAATGGAGGAATATATGATCCCTTATCTAAGGACACGCGTATCTGATATGATCAGAGTTGACAGCGGCTTTGGAAAGCTACGATTGCAGATCAGGATCTGAAGTCATACGCAGAATAGTTGTTAGACTTATCCAAGTGGGAGACTGTTGGATTAGTGTCTAAGTCCATAACTATTTTGGTATGTACTTGACCCGATGGTGCATGGTCCTTTTGGGTTGCCTTCACCAAAGCAACTTGATTGGAGAAATGAATAAAGAGAGAGAGGATAATATGATTTATTAATATGTTATAAGAATAATATATTAAAGGAGAAATCATATTTGTTTAATTAATATTGGTCAATAATTAATTAAGAATTAGTTTTGTGATCAAATGTAATTAATTAAACTAGAGGGGCTGATTTGTAATTATGTGATAGTTACAAAATAAGGTAAGGATTATCTTATATATATGGTGAACGAATTTGAGGTGTAAATCCCTTAGAATTCGAGTATGATAAGGATTCAAGGATTATCTTATTGGTTGCTTAATGGATAATCAACTAGATAAGGATAATGACTGAAACCCTATCTCTACACCTATATAAACACCCCTAGGGCCATGAATTCGTGTATCCCTTCCCAAGAGGTCCTAGATACGAATTCTAACCTCTCACTTCTCTCTTTATACCTTCTCCATTTGCTTATGGTGTTTGTAAGCCATTAGAGGAGTGACACTTGTGACTCTAAGCATTCCAAAGTCAATACAAGGAGATTTGGGATTGTTATTGCTACATAACAATCAAGGTAACACTATAAACTTATTCTCATGTTAATATGATTATATGTATGCTAGAATTAGGGTTTATAGTCTTGGATTCAAAGCATGTACAATAGAGAAACCTAGATCCAAGCATTAGGGTTTGTATGAACACATAGGATGTCTTATGACCAAAACCCATCAATTATATCATGTTTTTATATCATTACTCTTATTTCTTGTGGGTGTATCGCTTATGCAATAACCTGACACATTTTCAAGATTTCTCCACTTTCAAGCTTATATCCAAAACTAATTAAAGAGATTTTTTTTAACGGCTAATCTAATCTAATACTAAACTACTTCTAAATCACCTATGTCTCAGACAAGACTTTTACCCTCAACCTCAAGAAGTGAATGTAATATTTGATACTGTTGGTTAGATGCGTTTTGGTTAATTAAAGAGAATTAATCACATCATTCCATTGTCATCTTGGTCAAGAATTTGACAATTGCCGCTTCGTGCAACATAATTAAAAGATCGTTGAAATGTGTAGTAATGTTTGATTCCCTTGATACAAATATGCACACATACACCCACCTATAAACATACACTCATATATGTGTATGGCTATGCATTTAAGGCTCGTATAGGACAAAAAGGAGAAATAAAGTTTTTGTCCGCGACCCTACATTATATGCATAAGTTTTAGGTGTAGGAAAATGGTTATTCATTTAACAAAGTTCTTTGGGAGAACTTGAAATGATTATGCTGTGTAAATCTGTACATTCTTTCACCCTACACTTTGTATTATTTTGTAATTTTTGCCTATGATTGGACTTGCATTGATGACATCTCCTAGACTAATGCAAACGATGAAGAACTATGTACCAGTTAGGTCAACCCAAACCCATAATAATAATAATAATAATAATAATAATAGAAACAACAACAACAACAACAATAATAATAATAATAATAATAATAATGGTAATAGTAATAATAGTGATAGTAATAGTAATAGTAAAACAAAGAAAAAGATAATAATAATAATAATAATAATAATAATAATAATAATAATAATAATAATAACTAGAAAGCTTACCCTCGCTACGTGGGGGTTAGAAGTTTTCAATATTGTTTCCGAACGATATGACAGGCGTAGAAAGTGCAAAGATGAAAAGTCCAGACTTTGCCCCAGACCGTTTTTCATGTTTTTATGAAAAAATATAAAAGTTTCGACTACAATGATCAAAAGTTTCAAAACGGTTAAAGAATTAAAGGGGTAGAAATTAGCAAATTTTTAGAAAATGGATCAAAGTTGTTAAACCGTTAAAGTTTTGTGGCCAAACTTTAATTATTAAAAGGTTCGTAAAAAGTGTAAAAATATTGATTGTAAGGGATCCAGTTTACTATTCTTAAGCTTCGTGTGTGTGTATATATATATATATATATATATATATATATATATATATATATATATATATATATATATATATATATATATAAAGTCGTTGGCACGATACACATGGAACCTAAGTTTGAATCCATCCCCCCTAGTTTTTTTTTTTTTATTTTTTTTTATTTTTTTTTTTGTATTTATTTTTGTTTTTTTTCCTTGTGCGTAGATATTTCATAGGTAAAGTTAATAGATGTATGTAAGGGTGGTTTCATAGGTATTCCGTACGTAATTACCGACGAAATTCTTAGGGGAATCCTTCCGTCGCTATTTCGTAGCTATTCCGTCATAATTACGTTTGTAAACTATGACATCTTTTTCCATAGATATTCCGTCACTATTCCGTCGGTAATTACCTATGGAAAATTCCCGTAGGTATTTCTCATTTTTCTAGTAGTGTATATACAATGAGATTTAAATTTGGTTATATGCTATTCTTTTTTGTATTTTTTGTGTTAAATTATTTTTATTTCATGTTAATATCCCAGTTTTTGAATAACACTCCCATTTTTTTCTATCAATTTCCTTGCATTTTAAGCTTGCAGTTTCAAAACTAAAACTGTAGCAATATTTTTAGTTAAAGTGACCACGTTCAATGATTCAAGTTTCAAATGAGAGCATAAAATACAGATTTTTTAAATATAAAAATCTACAACAAATGAATTCGAAATTTACTCAAAATCGACCTTCGGTTTTGGAATTATTTTGCCACAGATTCGACCAACTACGCATATATATTCATAATTTTTGAAAGCCATTGTTGGATTATATTTTGGAAATCACTTAATCATTGTCTATTGATTAAGATATCAAAAACAAACAACCATATGTATAGTGTCTAACCATAAATTTCATTATTAATTAAATTAAAAGCAAACAACCCATTAGAAAACCACCAACCATCTTTTTAAAAAACAATCACAATCACAAAAAAGAAACAAAATTGTATCAATAATAATTTTCATAGGTCCAAAAAAAATTCATAACATCTAAGAAATCATTATCCAAAGTTAAAACAAAATCTATGTTTTTCTTCCTTTCAAGCCTTATTCATTTTTTTTTCTTTTCGCCTTTTTCTCTATTTACTATTATTATTATTTATTTTATTTTTTTCATGCTTTTATGTGTTAAATGGACATCTCAAAACATAATTTCAATATGCCATAAAGATCCATGATATCCCGTATAGTTCATCATTGAGATCTTCTCGTTTATCTATTAAATATATATATATATATATATATATATATATATATATGCCATAAAGTTCCATGATATCCCCGTATAGTTCATCATTGAAATCTTCTCGTTTATTTATTAAAAATAAAAAAATAAAATAAATAAATAAATAAATAAAAAATATAATAGTCTTTTAGTTATAAATCATGTCTTCCATCATTATTCTCATTTGTACCCGAGCTTCACTTGACCCATGGTTGCCCCCTAAAAACCATGGAAGTCTCCACCATGTTGGCATTGGATACCGAATTACCATAAAAGCTTGCAATATTGATGGAAGTTGGGATAATCCATCTCATCCAATCATTTCGCTTCCTCATCTTCTCACCCTACAAAATGAATTTTAGTATCAAGTCCAATTGTCATAGTTATATAGAATTTAATATTTTTATGAATTAGCACATGTTTAATACACACCCGCACTTCCACAGCTCTTGATGCCCGCATTACATCAAGAATTAGCTTAACATTGTCAGTTAAACACAAAACCTGCAATAAAACAGGGATATTAATTGATATCAAATGCAGCATAAAAAATGAGCGTATGAAGGACCAATATCAATGTGGCATGATGATGATCACTTTATATGAAACATATTAAAATGGAGTTGACCCAAGTTTGAATCTCATAAGCTTCAAAAAAAGTGTACGCATCAATTTATGCATCTTGTATATGATACTTACTTTCTTGAAGCTTGCTATTAAAGTGACATGAACCCAGCCTTGTTCGTCCATCTTTTGTCGCAAGTATAAATCTTTAACCAAATTCTCATCACTGCAACAAAGGGAAATAAGATGTTAATTGTTTTGAACTAATTATAAACCACCACAAATGTTTTAGATATGAGAGATTATAAAGAACCTGAAATAATAATCAATTTGTTTCACAATCTTTTCATGCAAATCTTGATCTTGAACAGGTAAGGACACTGGAGACTGCATCGGTGTCATCAGCGATGCAGATTGAGTTGAACCTTGAACATAAGACGCCAAATCTGCATGTACATAAAATGCATTATACAAACAAAACAGAAAAAGGGTTGTAAAAAATAAATGCATCAACCTAATTTGTATTTGCAGTTGGATTTCTTTTTTCTAACTTTGAAAAACTATTAACTAATTTAACTAAATGTATTTTTCATATTATGAAATATAAATGAATTATTTATTTAACAAGTTAGGGTTGTAAAAATACATCAACCTAATGTTAGCCCGTGTGATAAATAAGTTGAGATGGGTTAGAAAATCTAACCCGTTTATCAAAACCAGTTTGTTTAGAAATTCATAACCTGTTTAATTCAACATGTAGAGTTGAATAATAAAAAGCTTACCAGGATACATGAAATTGTTGCCAAAAGGGGGAACTGGCACATGCATTTGTGGAGACATGAAAGAATTTGAAACAAGTGGAGAGGTTCCACGATTCACAAAACCCCTACGAAAGCCCCTCTGACGCTGCATGTTGTTAAACCTTGTATGCTGGTTCCACTCCCGATTGCCACTTGGACGTTGTCCGCCATTGTTGCCTCTTCTTGAAGAATCCATTAATCGCAACGGTTGCAGGTTTTCCAGATATTCTTTACGAGGGAGTTTCGACTTTCGGATGTATATATGTATATATGTGCATCAACCACAGGTGCTGCATTATTTAGTATTGTAGTAGGATTCAAATTATCCCACCACAGCTCTGTTTCCATATATAATACTAACGATTTCCACAAGTTTAGATAGGTTATCGCAGCTAAGGTTTATCAAGATAAAGGAATTCGAATTTGTTTTCTTATGTTGCAAGAATTACATGAACTACCCCTTTGAAATTAGGACTTTCGTCGGCAGCTCCATGTCATTCTAATGTGCACGTCAGTCCCCCATTTTATTAGAATGTTCCACACTCCACCTTAAATAAGTGTAATTTAGTCACCGATATTGGTATGCCCAAAATAAAAACGAAATGTAAATGAAAACTTTGGATTTAGTCATTTTGTAATCGGGAAGCCACTAACTAGTCGCATGAGTTAACACCTATTTTTAGTTTTTCACTTTTTTTTAATATCCCATACTCCACTACTTAGCCACTTCGCTTCACTATGACTTCCCTCTTCTAAGCTTATTGTGAAATTCGCCCGTTCAACTCCCTGCTGCTACTCCATGCTTGCCACTTCTCTTTTCCACCTCAATGTCAAATAGATAAAAACAGGACATGACACGACGCGATATGTTTGTCGCCTATACTTATACCTTGTCGGATGTTACCGGTTGCCAACTGTCGATCCATACTCCATAGTGGTATCATCACCAATGTTTTAAAAATTTATTCGAGCCGGCCAGTTGAAGCAGTCAGACTAGAAAGCGGGGATGAGAGTTGTTCAACAACGACCAATTTTATTCCTATTTCTAGACCGGATCGAACTGGTTTATTGGACTTGTACAATTTAATTTCATTTAGCCCATTAAAAACAATTCATTCCAAAAGAAAATTGAATAGTTCGATTAGCTAGGTTATACATAGTGTACACAACTCGAAGGCCGATGCACACTGTCAGATATAGACCGACGGTTAAACCAATAGTCGAACCGGGAATCGGTAATTAGACCAGTTCAACTAAAAGATCGATTTATTAAAACATTGAGAATCATCCCTAACCATTGCAACAATAAGAAGACATGCCCATACATTAAGGAAGCCTAAGGACCGATATGGAAGTTATGTTTCAAGCTTAAGCTTACGATGCTTCCATTGCTCAGCCTTAGCAGTGGTTTCCCCTAATTAATGATATCTGATCATGAAAGAGATCATGAAAGACAATCTTTTTAATGTTTTCTACACAATGACGCTCACAACTGGCGTTGGATTGTATACAAATGTTATTGGCATCAAATCTGATCTTTTCACATAGTTATACTCTTTAGGTATACTCTTTTCTATTTTCTCTAAAAGACCATTTAGTTCGTCGTTGTTGGCAATGGTTTATACATGCCCATCACCCATGCTGGAAAAACCCAAAGATAATAAAATTACTAATGAATTTGATGATTTTTTATATTCGTTGATGGATTTTTGTACCCGCAAGATCCTCATTCGATATTACAGTTCATGTGACTTATATTTGTCCACTCGATCTCGATCTCATGTTTCTCTCTTTTCCACCACGAGGTCTATATGGAATCAATGATTGGCATGTCCTCATGTACTTGATTCTTTTTTAATTAGTTGTTTTATCTCATGTGATAAAAGCGACGTTAGTTTGTCTTCCCATGCTTGTCATCTTGAAAAACACATTCATTTTGCTTAATTTTGATTGTTTAAATGCACATGTTTCTTCTATGTTTTGTATTGTATAGCCTAATCTTTGTACTTCCCTTATTATCAGTTATCAGTGTAACTGTCATAAATTATTTTATCATATTTTTAGATCATTACTCTTATTTCTTGTGGGTGTATCGCTTATGCAATAAATCTGACACATTTGCAAGGTTTCTCCACTTTCAAGCTTATGTCCAATACTAGTTAAAGTTTTTTTTGAACAACTAATCTAATCTAATTTAAACTACTCTTAAATCACCTGTCTCAGACAAGAACTGTGACCGCAACCTCAAGAAATGAATATAATACCTAATATTGTTGGCTACAAGGCCTTTGGTTAATTAAAGAGAATTAATCAAATCATTCCGTTATGATCATGGCACGAAATTTGACAATCACCGCTTCGTGCAAAAGAATGGAAAGATCGTTGAAATGCCTAGTAATGTTTGATTTCCTTGATACAAAAATGGACAATGAATATATTACCTATATATAGTGAGATTTAAATTTGGTTATATGCTAATCTTTTTTTGGTTCTCTGTGTTAAATTCTCTTTATTTTATATTAATATGCCAGTTTTTGAATAACACTTCCATTTTTTTACTATCAATTTGCTTGCATTTTGAGCTTGCAGTTTCAAAACCAAAACTGTATGTAACATCCAAAATTTCCAACCAATTTAAACTTTTCAAAAACAACCCATATTCGTTAATTTATTACGAAAAGGTTTTCAATTCATTTATTATCAGAGTATTTCCCAAAACCACATCATAAACACATTAAACATGAGGAGCGGTACGATCACGCCTTCGCCTTGCCACTATCTCCTGAAGTACTTAAAACAATACACTGAAAATTGTATGCCCTAAAGCATAGTGAGTTACCCCCAAAATACCAACCACATATACCATACACATAACATATCATATCATAAACAGAACAGCCATGCACTTCGTGTCTACTGTGTGACTGGTCCGCCGCAACGGGCCTTCAGTCCACCTGGTCCAACCTCCGAGTCTAGCCATATACATTGAGTCTGCAGTGTGGTTGGTCGGTCCGCACCGGGCCTTCAACCCACCTGGACTACTCTCTAAGTCTACAGTATGACTGGTCTGCCGGTACCGGGCCTTCAGTCGGCCTGGTCCACTCTCCGAGCCTCGGTACGTCTGGTCCACCCTTGTGGGGCCTACAGCCTATCCGGAATGCTCACTGGGCCTTCGGGATATCTGGACCAGCATGGGTATGTTGGCCTACAGCACAAAGTAGGAGCCACCTCAACCCAACCCCAGTCAACCATGTGCACATAAACATATAATCATATAGCAATTCCTCACTAACCAACCGATCTAGCATATCACATATATAGCACACTCTAACCAGGATACCGACCTAACCGATCACTAACATAACATCATCCTATATAACAGGATTCCGACCTTAACCATGTCTCTAACATATACCATCCTATCTACCAGGATGCAAACATATAGCAAATCAATAACATAACAACTACCCGGATTTCCATCCGATAAAGGGCCGGCCTTGGTGCCTTAGACCCTATCGATATAATGAGGATAACTCACCTCGCAACTGCTGACTAAAGAGATAAGATCACGCTGCTCCAACCTCCAACACGAACTCCACCACCGATCAATACCAAAAGACTGAAATCAATAAATACCAATAATTACCAAAGTACCCTTGGAAGTCTAGTGGTCAACTCTTGGTCAAAGTCAAAGTCCTTACTCAAAGTCAACCATCATGTGTGACCCTTCTCGCTCAACTCACCGAGTCATCCCTCGGCTCACCGATTCACCGTTCAACCAGAAAAAGGTTAGCACTCCACGACTAGACTCGTCGAGTCCAAGAACAGTCTCGCCGAGTCCTAGGCAATATTCAACAGACTCGTCGAGTTGTTCTTCCAAGTCGTCGAGTCCATGCCAACCTTCATCCAACTCGCCGAGTTTACCCATGGAACTCTTCGAGTCTCTTCAGTTCTCATTCCATACATAGGCTTTCCAAGCCATTCAGGGGCTCAAATCTGTAGATCTACCCTTCTACAAGCCAATCCTCACGTAAAATGGCAAACTTTACGTGAACTCCATGAGCTATGAGCCCAAAATACTCTAGGGCTAGACTTTTAGGACAAAGGGATTCACTAACAACTCAAGGACTGAAGCTTTATGACATTCTAGGCCATCATGAGTCGAGATTGGAAGTAGCAACCCTATATCCAACATCAAATCTGAGATAGGTCTCAAAACAATTTGAGGAACTCCCAAAACAACCACCAAGGATGAACCACAAGGGAAATAGCTTAAGGTAAAAGCTCCTTACCTCAGAGATGTTCACAATTCTGATGTAGATCCCAAATCTTTACAAGCCTGTTGATGCTAACTCCTAATTCTCAAGCTCCTTTCTCAATTTCCTCATCAACGCCCCAATCTTTCCAACAATGAAGCCTCACACGAAATTACGGTTTTCTGGAACTAAAAGGGAAGGTAAAGAGGCTGAGGGTGGCTATAATGTGCTTTATATATGGCACAAACCCCGGGTTAGGGTTTTTCTCCCTTCAGCACCAGCCGAGTCCATCTTCCGACTCGCCAATTTAGTCAGTTAACGCACGAACAAAATTGCGACTCGACTCGCCGAGTCTATCCATGGACTCGCTGAGTCGATCCTCCTTGCACCCAGCACCCTGAACTTGCACTTCTGAACTCAGGGTGTTACAATTGTCCCCCACTTAAATTAGGCTTCTTCCTCGAAGCTTGCATCAACACATCCCATATGACACTCCCTCAATACATCTCCTGGTCTCAACCGACCTGGGTTCCTCCGAACACTGCTATCGGTCCTCTATAAAGTCCAACTCTTCCGTCCTAGAGTTACGGCAAATGATTCAAGCCGGCCACCGACTTTTTTCTCTGATAGCAACACTTATTAGCCAATGATAACCCGATGATACTTTCATCACTCCAAATCACAATAATCACTTGACCCTTACCATGCTAGATATCACCCTGAACCACCGGGTCCTGACCTGATACCAAGCTGCTACCCCTTTCCTCGACTGGCATATCCTTTATCGAATTCACTTCTAGGACTTATCCCGCTTTCCTTTCTGAAACCAACTCATATCTTTCCGATCTGACAGGATGGCACATACTTCATCTCCTGAGCAACTCCCATGAGCTCTCCCCTACAGTCACATACGCATGTTGAATCTGCTCTAACATTCTCG